CACATGAGACAATGTGTGTAATAAAAACTTCAAATTCGTCCCTGGGTGGGCTTGAACCACCAACCTTTCGGTTAACAGCCAAACGCGCTAACCGATTGCGCCACAGAGACTGCAACATAGATGTTATGTTGTATTCATATCACGAATCCACACATGTGAAAATGTGTGTAATAACAACTTCTACTTCGTCCCAGGCCGGGCTTGAACCACCAACCTTTCGGTTAACAGACGAACGCGCTAACCGATTGCGCCACAGAGACTGCAACAATGATCTTATGTTGTATTTATATTGCGAATCCACACATGAGAAAATGTGTGTAATAAAATCTTGTACTTCGTCCCTGGGTGAGCTTGAACAACAAACCTTTCGGTTAACAGCCGAACGCCCTAACCGATTGCGCCACAGAGACTGCAACAATGGTGTTACGTTGTATTCATATCGCTAATCCACACATGAGAAAATGTGTATAATAAAAACTTCTAATTCGTCCCTGGGTGGGCTTGAACCACCAACCTTTCGGTTAACAGCCGAACGCGCTAATCGATTGCGCCACAGAGACTGCAACATCAATGTTATGTTGTATTCATATCGCGAATCCACACATGAGAAAATGTGTGTAATAACAACCTGTACTTCGTCACTGGGTGGGCTTGAACGACCAACCTTTCGGCTAACAGCCGACCGCTCTAACCGATTGCGCCACAGAGACTGCAACAATGGTGTTACGTTGTATTCATATCGCGAATCCACACATGAGAAAATGTGTGTAATAAAAACTTCGTCCCTGGGTGGGCTTGAATCCCTAACCGATTGCGCCACAGAGACTGCAACAATGGTGTTATGTTGTATTCATATCGCGAATCCACACATGAGAAAATGTGTGTAATATAAATTAGTACTTCGCCCCTAGGTGGGCTTGAACCACCAACCTTTCGGTTAACAGCCGAACGCGCTAACCGATTGCGCCACAGAGACTGCAAAAATGGTGTTATGTTGTATTCATATCGCGAATGAGATCCACACATGAGAAAATGTGTGTAATAGAAACTTCTACTTCGTCCCTGGGTGGGCTTGAACCAACAACCTTTTGGTTAACAGCCGAACGCCCTGACCGATTGCGCCACAGAGACTGCAACAATGGTGTTATGTTGTATTTATATTGCGAATCCACACATGAGAAAATGTGTGTAATAAAATCTTGTACTTCGTCCCTGGGTGAGCTTGAACCACAAACCTTTCGGTTAACAGCCGAACGCCCTAACCGATTGCGCCACAGAGACTGCAACAATGGTGTTATGTTGTATTTATATTGCGAATCCACACATGAGAATATGTGTGTAATAAAATCTTGTACTTCGCCCCTAGGTGGGCTTGAACCACCAACCTTTCGGTTAACAGCCGAACGCGCTAACCGATTGCGCCACAGAGACTGCAACAATGATGTTATGTTGTATTCATATCGCGAATGAGATCCACACATGAGAAAATGTGTGTAATAGAAACTTCTACTTCGTCCCTGGGTGGGCTTGAATCCCTAACCGATTGCGACACATAGACTGCAACAATGGTGTTATGTTGTATTCATATCGCGAATCCACACATGAGAAAATGTGTGTAATATAAATTAGTACTTCGCCCCTGGGTGGGCTTGAACCACCAACCTTTCGGTTAACAGCCGAACGCGCTAACCGATTGCGCCACAGAGACTGCAACAAAGATGTTATGTTGTATTAATAATGCGAATCCGCACATGATAAATTGAGATTAAGAAAATCTTGTACTTCGTGCTCTTAAACCACAATCTTTTCGGTTAACAGCCGAAAGCGCTAATCTTGTACTTCGTCCCTGGGTGAGCTTGAACCACAAACCTTTCGGTTAACAGCCGAACGCCCTAACCGATTGCGCCACAGAGACTGCAACAATGGTGTTACGTTGTATTCATATCGCTAATCCACACATGAGAAAATGTGTATAATAAAAACTTCTAATTTGTCCCTGGGTGGGCTTGAACCACCAACCTTTCGGTTAACAGCCGAACGCGCTAATCGATTGCGCCACAGAGACTGCAACATAAATGTTATGTTGTATTCATATCGCGAATCCACACATGAGAAAATGTGTGTAATAAAACCTAGTACTTCGTCACTGGATAGGCTTGAACCACAAACCTTTCGGTTAACAGCCGATAGCGCTAAACGATTGCGCCACAGAGACAATTGTGTTATGTTGTATTCATATCGCGAATCCACACATGAGAAAATGTGTGCAATAACAACCTGTACTTCGTCACTGGGTGGGCTTGAACGACCAACCTTTCGGCTAACAGCCGACCGCTCTAACCGATTGCGCCACAGAGACTGCAACAATGGTGTTATGTTGTATTCATATCGCGAATCCACACATGAGAAAATGTGTGTAATAAAAACTAGTAATTCGTCCCTGGGTGGGCTTGACCCACCAACCTTTCGGTTAACAGCTTAACGCGCTAACCGATTGCCCCACAGAGACTGCAACATTGATGTTATGTTGTATTCATATCGTGAATCCACACATGAGAAAATGTGTGTAATAAAAACTAGTAATT